ATATGACAAAACAAGAACATACAGGATGTAAATTAGGGTATGCAACAATCACTTCTCTATAAACGATAACTTCACATCATTAAAATAATTCACCCCAAGTTCAGGCATCTTCAAATAGAAGTAACACATGTACATTTATATCTTAAAACAAAATGCATGCATAAATACTATTTTTTCCGTTAAAAAAAAAGATTTATACACGGTTACCATAAAAAAATATATCAAAAGTATTATGACTTGTTTGAGTACTTTTAGAAATCAAAAACATTTTTTTTCAAAACCATTTTATTGTCATTTTAAAAGTATTTTTAAATGAGCCTTTACATAACAATCACTCATACATGATGAATAATAAATAAAACGTAGTAATTGGTATTTCCTTACATTATAATTAGTAACAGATAGGAAAATATTTGTCTGAAATGTGAACCAATTCACACATCATCAATACAGGTCTATATTTCCATATAAAGAAGTAAGAAGAAATATTCTTTGCAACATATTCATATGTATTTATAATTTTTTTTCTTCGTGAAAATCGTAGTGTTCTACTTCTTTAAAATGTTTTTTTTTTTTTTTTTTTTTTTTTGATAATTTCGTATTGCTACATGTGAAATTAACAAGAAGATGATAAATGTTATATGCAGAAAGTATATGTTCGTTTGAAACTAGAAGAAAAATGTAGCTAGAATTTATATGGGTAGATGAGATGGCTACATCTGTCCTTTACTGTAATAAATGTATTTATATGGCTAGATCTTCCCCTTGACTTGCGCAATTCTTCTACATGTAACGAGAAATTTCTTCTTAGAGCATATTCGAAGGAGATGTCAAAAATCATAGGTGAATTATTTTGGCAATAAAAATGTGGTTTTCTGGTACCAAAGGAGATGCCAAAATCCTACATTCATCACTTTGCTGCCAAGTTTGAAGGCAACGTCAAATATTTCTTTTTGTTTTTATTTGTGTTGGACTCAGATATTTCTTTATTTTTCTTCGCTTATTGATTATCAAATTCTGACCATCTTGATTTTATTAATAACCAAAAAACATTTTGTTTGACATCTCGGTTGGAATGAAGACTTTACAAAATCTTATTTTGCCACATCAGTTATAAAAAAAGAAATTTGACATCTCATTAGAGATGGTCTTACGTATATGACTACAACTTAACACGTATACTAGAACGATATTGGAATGACTGTTTACATTCAAAGAATCACATAACGGTGCTCTGCAAAGTGACACTTATATTTTCTTTTAAGACTTTTATCAAATTTGAATGCTTTTCTAATAAAATCTTAAAATAGGCAATCAAACAACAGGTATAGATTTCATGGCGTATTTCGTATTTATTGCATCATCTCCCTCTTGTGTGACTAATTATGTTTGAGATCTGATAGACCCACTCCATAATCCTATTTTTCACGCCCACCTTATATTTTCACCCCACATAAAGAAATTAAAAAATAAAAACACTATTTCTCACCCCTAATATTCCTAAAATGTCCTTGCATTAATTTAACTTTTCACTAAAAATTAAAATAAATAAAAATTGAGAATACAAAAGCTACCCTCCTACCCGAGCCTGACACCACCAAACCCAACTCAACGGCAACCCCTTTCATTGTCAGCCGACATTTTCTCTCTATGGAAATTTGGAGGAGAAAACATTAACTAGCAACGACATCCTTGATGGAATTGTAATTGTTCACAGACCGACAATGACGATTTCAGTTGAATTGAGTTTGATTGAGATGGAGAAAAAAAAATGATTAGGGTTGCAGAAAAAAAAGGATGGCTGCAGTCAGAAGTCAATTTGGTTTGGGAGTGGCTCTGGCTTGTGGTTTTGGGGGTGGGGGGAAGGGGTTGCTGGGATATTCCCTTTTCTTTCTAATTTTCAGTTTTGTTTGCTTCCAATTTTAACATTGATTGGATACGTGGCTCGAGCTTGTAATATTCTTCTCGGATGGGATTGTTCATGGCTTCTCATATTCTTCTTCAGAAATAAAACGTTGTTCTTTCACTTTTATTTTTATGTTTTTTAGCTAAAAAAATAGATCAGGGTTCATTTTTATTAGGGTTTTAAAAGTCATTTCACGAATGGCCAAATATGACATTAAATTTTTTATTAAAAAGTGGGTGTGAAAAAAGGGTTGAGGGGTGGGTATAACACCAGAGAAGCCATGTGGCCGCTATAACCTTCTCTCTCTCTCTCTCTCTCTCTAATTTGACACATAAAAATCCTCCTTTTTGTTTTAAATTTGACAATTTTCTTGACGTAATAGTTTAAGTTACTTTTTGACAAGTTTGGTAATACGATCCTAGAGGATTCTCTCTATAAATTTTGTTCATGTATCAAAAACAAAAAAAAGGTAGTTTCTCTTACCATTTAAGTTACAATAAATTCGACATCTTAACATTGGCAAGACTATAATGTTGTTTCTAAATATTATACATGCACGCGTCTGCACTAAATTTGTCAAACTTAATCACTATATAACAAGTTCATCTTACACGGTAACATAATATGTGTGAAGCACTTCAAGTTACTATTCCATGGAATCATCACACACATGTAGTAAGTAGTACAACAATGACAAACAACAAACAACAATAAAGTTGTATTCTACTAAGTGTGATCAATTATATGAATCTTAGAGCGCCATTGTGTTTGTTTTCGTGCCAAATATTTCGTTAGCACCAAGTGCTCCATGACTTTTCTTAAATGAACAACTGAGTCCAAATAGCTCATAAATCAACGATGATTATGGGCTCGTCTGGAAGTGCTTTAAAATGACTGAAAGCGTTTTTGGTGAAACTATTTTGAAAACCAACCCTTAATAAAAAAGAACTTTAACGAAAAGCTCCCAGTACTGTTCACTTTAATGAAAAATCACATTTTAACACTAAAAAGTCAATCCTAGTACTATTCACTTTACCTTTTATTTTGTCCTTATCGTTAAAACTCAAAATTTTCAAGCCCTTTTCATTAATTTTCCTTAATAAAAATCCAAGTGAATAGTGGAAAAACACTTTGAGTATTTCATGCAGTTAAGTGCTTTTGGAACTCAACATTAATTTCACTAAAAGCGCTATCAGTCATTTTAAAAGTACTTCCAATCGAGCCTATATTTTATTCGACAAATTTATCTTTTGAAACGTTTAACCGTTCACGTTGTTTCTTGATCTTGTGACAATTTTTTTTTTTTTTTGAACAATTGATATTATCAACATTAAAGGAGATGGGGTGTGACACACCCGACCTAAATCGAGGCGTGATGGCCGTCACATGGTGATGACATAGCCATGTGCACAGTGCGGGTGACAATGACATTGAAATTATTTTTCTCATTGACGTAATTAAATCGTACGCGTCGTCACGAGTGTGTTGATGCGAGTTAGGGCCGAATCGGGTTCATGACGAAAATGTTACGAGTGCATATTGATGATAGTGATTGTAGTGTGTATGGTTATGTTTAGATGCATTTAGTGCTCATATAGAAACTTACGGATCGAGCTCGATGTTTCCAGATTCCTACTCCTCTCAAGCTCTAGGCTCTGGTGATACCTTTTGTTTGGTGATTTGACTTCGAAAACCGAGTATATGCCATGTCAAGTATCTCAACATTAAATATGTAAGCCAGGTGATATAAATCAATGCAAAAGTGATATGACAGCTGGAGTCACCTAATGTGACATGTACGGCTGAACCTATTGCTCATCAATCCAGTTGGAGTCACCTAATGTGACATGTGCAGTACTAAACCTGCATATAGGTCGAAACCACCTAATGTGGTCTGTACGATAGACTAGGTGTAAATAAATACGCTCAAGTGCTACGATCACATGAAGGCTGTGCGACGAATCGCAGGTCACCTACGAGCCGGAACCACCTAATGTGGTTTGTACGACAGGCTAGCACCTGACTTGGATCCATGCTGGGTGTGTGGTGCGAGAGATGAACGATCACGTGAAGGCTAGGCCCTGGCCACAAGTGGAGCACTAACATTGGGGTGCAGGACAATGAGCTTTACATGCATCAACTCATAATCAACTACCATGCAACCATACCGTCAATATATACTCACCTGAACTGACCTGGGCCTCCGCAACATCATGCAAAATTATGCAAAGCTATACTAATGCATATGCTAAAATGTAAAGCAAACATGACATGACATTTTAAACGAAATTCCATTTAAAAACAATTTATGGGAAACACATATATATATATAAACCAAAAGCCCACTCACCCTTGTTTTTGCGCCCCTCCAGGTTTTAGCTGTTGAAAGTCCGTATCGACGAGGATTATTGGCAAATCTCAGTGTAGGTGGCTACCTTCGAGGGTATGATCCTTACCCGCACTACTGCACTTTACTTATGCTCTGACGTTGTGTGTGAAATAGGTTCATCCCCGCTCACTTGTCTTTAGGTACTTTTAGATTTAAATTTATTCACATTTGCCACATCACTATACTTTATGGCTTCTTCACCCTTCGGGTGTCGGCCAGTACAGCTCGATTCGGAGTCCTAGTGGACATTCTAGGTCGGGGTGTGTTAGGATGGGTTTAGATTCACAATGAGCTAAGAATAATGTGGTTTAAATTCGTCTCTGGCGAAAAATTGAATCTAAGGTCTCTCACTTACAAGTGAAGAGGAATACCACTAGATCGTAGTACTAAGTGACAATCTTGTACAATTTAGATTAACAATAATTTAGAAATTTTGTTTTTGTCGGATAGAAGTTTTTGTTAATTTTATTTTTAGTATTACCTTAATTTTTAATAATTATTATTTACAAACTTACAACTAAGGCTGCGCAAATCCAGCCGAAAATAACTCCAAATCTAGCGTTGCACATGAACCGCATAAGCCGACTGGCTTATCCATTATATAAGGTGATACCCACTCTTGATATAAGCAGACGAACCTATCACTCCGCTTATCAGTCTAAATACATCTCATCTCGTTCACGCTATTATATTTGTTCGTTGCTCTCTCTGAACCTTTTTCTCCTCCAAATCCCTAATCTCTATCTTCTTCTTCTTCTCCATATAAATACCTGACTCCAAAGCACCAAAACAAAGAGAGCTAGAGAGAGAAACTAGAGAGAGAAAGCTTTCAAACCCTCCGATCTGAGCCATCGATATCATAAAGGTACCTCCTTTCCTTCTCATTTTTCCCTCTGATTTCGTTAATTTTCCAAATTTTTGAGCTTTTATTTTTTTGTTGATTGATTTTTCGGAACTGAAAATTATTTGAATTTTGTGTAAAATATTGGAAATTTTGAGTTGTTGTATTGGTGAATTGGAGCAGGAGGGTTTAGATCTTTGCCTAAATTAGGGTTTTGGCAGGAGTTCAGGGACGACGATGTCCTCGCTTAGCAGAGAGCTCGTTTTTCTCATACTTCAGTTTCTGGATGAAGAGAAATTCAAAGACAGTGTTCACAAGTATGCTCAATTTATATACTTTATTAATTTATGGATATGTATGTATAACTGTATGTTTGTTAGGTGGCTTAATTTGTTTTGATTTTCGATTAATTTTGCTGTGATTGTTGTGGGTGTGGAGGTTGGAGCAAGAGTCAGGGTTTTTCTTTAACATGAGGTACTTTGAGGACATGGTGACAAATGGAGAGTGGGAGGAGGTGGAAAAGTATTTGTCTGGTTTCACGAAGGTTGATGATAATCGATACTCTATGAAGATTTTCTTTGAGATTCGCAAGCAGAAGTACCTTGAAGCTTTAGACAAGTAGGTGTATTGGATTGTTGTTTCTAATCAAATTGTTGTTATGGTTTAATCCTTGTTGATTAATTTACTTCATTTAATTTTTTATCTTTTTGCCCCATATGATTCAAAACTGAATAAATGATTGTTGTAGGCGGGATCGAGCAAAAGCTGTGGACATTTTAGTTAAGGACTTGAAAGTTTTTGCATCATTTAATGAGGAACTTTTTAAGGAAATTACACAGTTGTTGACTCTGGAAAACTTTAGGTGAGAACAAATTGTCTTGTGCTGTTGACAGTTGTTGTTATAGGCGGCTAGTTCACGTTTTTGTAATCTCTATGACCTGACATGTTTTTGGGTATGCATTACTTTTCAGGGATAATGAACAGTTATCTAAATATGGTGATACTAAGTCTGCAAGGAGTATAATGCTTGCTGAACTGAAAAAGTTAATAGAGGCTAACCCATTGTTTCGTGATAAACTTCAATTTCCAACGCTGAAGAACTCGAGACTGCGTACTCTTATTAATCAGAGGTTTTTGAGAAGCTTCTGCCTCGTGTATCTGAGACTCTACATTTTTTCTTGCTTTAATTTTAAGATATCTGGTTACCTAACTTTTGTGTCATGAAAACTGCAGTTTAAACTGGCAGCATCAGCTTTGTAAGAACCCAAGGTCCAATCCAGACATAAAGACCCTGTTTGTAGACCACAGTTGTGGACAACCAAATGGTACCAGGGCTCCATCTCCTGTCACTAATCACTTAATGGGGGCAGTCCCTAAGACAGGGGGTTTCCCTCCATTGGGTGCTCATGGGGTAGGTAGAACACAAATATATTGTTTTGGTATGAGGTCAAACTGTCTCTAAATTGAAGATTGACTCTGGGTGTATATGTATATAGCCCTTTCAGCCCACACCAGCTGCTCTTCCAACGTCTCTTGCTGGATGGATGGCAAATCCATCACCTGTGCCTCATCCCTCAGCTTCTGCTGGGCCTCTTGGGTTGGCCGCAGCTAACACTGCGGGTAATGTTTCTGGAGCATTTAGCTTTGAAGTTTGACATTTTCTTATGGTTAGCTTGTATTGTTCTTTTGTCTGAAATTTTTATATGACGTGTTAGCTTTATTCTTTTTGTTCTCCTATTTAACATGTTTTTTGCTTTTGTAGTAATTTTCTTAAATTTGCAACTGTTTTTCTTGTGTAATATATTTACCATCATTACAGCCATCTTGAAGCGCCCTAGAACTCCTCCTACCGGTAACCCAACTATGGACTATCAAACAGCAGATTCTGAGTTCGTTCTGAAGAGATCAAGACCTTTTGGGATACCGGATGAAGTATAAATCTATCCTTAATTTTTACATATTCTGATTTATCTGATGGAAGTCCGAGTTATATTGCTAAATCTGAAGTTTTCCTTTCATTTGATGTATATTCTTTTGACTCTGTAATAATAAATTATTTCAGTTTTAAAGAAATAAATTTATTTCAGTTGTTCAAATTCAATTTCCTTAACATATTGTTTCATAAAAGGTAGGTAGAGAAATTGTTCCTTCAAAAGGTTGGTAACAAAATGGTAAGTTTAGATTCTGCAAAATACTAGAACATGGATGATGAGGAAGTATGCATAACGGAATTAAAAGAAATTTTATTCTTATAAACATGATGCAAATGATCCTCCAGTTACCTTTTGTATGAGCAGTCGCAAGTTTTATGCCAAAGATCTGTATAGCTTTATTTTACAGAAAACTTTCAAGTTGCAATTTCTTAGTGTATATAATTGATTCTGTATTAACTCAATTTCTAACAGGCCAATAATCTGCCAGTAAATATGCTGCCTGTTGCATATCCTAATCAGAGCCATGGTCAGAGTTCCTACTCTTCTGATGACTTGCCCAGGTCTGTTGTTATGACTTTAAGTCTGGGTTCAGCTGTCAAGAGTATGGATTTCCACCCGGTACAACAAATTTTACTTCTTGGTAAGCTCCAGAGAGCTGATCTCCATTCCACTTGTTGTAAATTATTATTTTTGTATATATTTTTTATTTCGTTCTTTCAAATGTTGAATTATAGCTTTTCTTTTAGTAATAAGCAATTTTATCATTTCAGTTGGAACAAACATGGGTGATGTCATGATATATAAGCTACCAAGCCAAGAAAAGGCTATTAAGAACTTCAAAGTCTGGGACATTGGAGCATGTTCAGGGGCACTGCAGGTTTGGCTCTTGATATTCTGTAGTATCGTATGGATTTTTAAATAATATTGCCATCTTCATTGTCCTGTAGGCATCTTTGGCCAGTGATTATACAGCATCAATCAACCGTGTGATGTGGAGCCCTGATGGGACACTTGTTGGTAGGTGTCTGTATCCTGGATTTTCTGAAGTAGACTTATGCTAGTTCATCAAATATTGTCAAGAATTAAGAAATGAATCTTAAACTGGTTATGATGACTCAAAATTCTACTGCAGGTGTTGCATACTCTAAGCACATTGTACACATATATTCCTACCATGGTGGTGATGAGTTACGAAATCACCTGGAGGTTTATTCCATCAACCTATCCCTTTGAAGATAGTCTTCTGTCATTTGCTCTTGTTATTTTATTTTGTTTATATTTTGTCTCCTTATGTTTTCCTATTCTTGTTGGACATCTTATTTTCCTTTATGGGGGTAACATTGACTTACGCATTGCTGTTCATGTCTTGTTTTCAGATTGAGGCCCATGTTGGCAGCGTCAATGATCTTGCTTTCTCATATCCAAACAAACAGCTGTGCGTTGTCACTTGCGGGGATGATAGGGTCATTAAGGTTTGATCTGACTTGACTAATTCTAATTTGATTTTGCAGGTTCAAGTTTGTAGTTAGATATGATAGTTCAATATTCTGCAGGTGTGGGATGCAGCCACTGGGATTAAGCAGTATACTTTTGAAGGCCATGAAGCACCTGTATATTCAGTGTGTCCACATCACAAAGAAAATATCCAGGTACTATCTATTTATGTTATAGTGTTGATAACGTGGAATGTAAAAAGGGTATTATTTTACAACAAAAAAAAAACTAAAATAGAAAACTAGAAGTTTCTGTTTGTTTTTTTGTAATGTACAAATTAAATGGAGAATCTGAATCAGTTAATACTTAACCGTATGTATTTCAATCAAAAATATTAGGACACAGTTTCACTAAATGGGGAATAGGAAACTAACTCATAAAGTACGGAAATTTTTTTGAAGGGCTCACAAAATTTGTTTTAGACTTAAGTCATTAGCAACTTGATTTGATGTCTCATAGATTGTACGATTATATTGTACTTTGTGTTAAAGTTCTTAATCCCCTACTGTTTCTTTTTCCAGTTCATTTTCTCGACGGCTACTGATGGGAAAATAAAGGCATGGTTGTATGATAATGTGGGCTCAAGAGTTGACTATGATGCACCAGGCCATTCATCTACCACTATGGCATACAGTGCAGATGGAGCAAGGTTACTTTCTGCACCCTTTACAAAGACATTGTTCTATTAATGATGTGATATTAAGTATTTATCTGTTATATTATGATGGACGTCTTTGTATCTTCTCTGAACACATAGGTTGTTCTCATGTGGGACTAACAAAGAAGGGGATTCATCCTTGGTGGAGTGGAATGAAAGTGAAGGAGCTGTAAAGCGGACCTATCATGGTCTTGCAAAGCGTGCAGTTGGGGTTGTGCAGTTTGATACCACTAAAAACCGGTTCTTGGCTGCTGGCGATGAGTTCACTGTCAAATTTTGGGACATGGACAATGTTAACCTTTTGACGAGTACTGATGCAGATGGTGGATTGCCGGTAGGCATCACAACTTAATTTTTCTAAATAAAAAAATTCCTTCCAGATTACTCACCATGATCTTAAAACCCTGCAGGCTTCTCCCACAATCAGATTTAACAAGGAAGGAATATTGTTAGCTGCCTCAACGAATGATGGTATTAAAATTCTGGCAAATACAGATGGAATTAGGTTGCTAAGAACTGTGGAAAGTCGCACATTTGATGCTTCAAGAGCTGCTTCTGCGGCTGCAGTGAAGGTAAAAGTTTCAACTTGGCATACCTTGTTAAAATCTGTTAGCTAAATGCATCATTAATATGCAGGCACTCCCAGTAGGAACATTTGGGCCTTCCAGCACTCCTATTGGAACAAGCATTGGAGATCGAGCTGCTCCTGTGTCAGCCATGGTTGGACTGGTGAGTGTCATGATCTCTCTCATGGGTGACTAAAATATTGGAAGCATGCTATATTAAACGATGTTATTATCATCAACTTATGTTTAATATTCAGTCTGATCAAAATGTATGTTATTATGCATAGGAAATGTGTTTGAAACTAGAAGTTCAATTTTCTTCTTCAACGGTAAAAAAGGGTGTTTTTATACGATGGTTTAACCTTGTCCTTCTCTTTCTATGTCCATCTGTGTAGAACAATGACAATAGAAGTTTGGTCGACATTAAACCTAGAATTGCTGATGAGTCGGTAGAGAAAGCCAGGATTTGGAAACTGACTGAAATCAGTGAACTATCACAATGCCGCTCTCTGAGGCTCCCTGATACTTTAACAGCAATGAGGGTATTAGTTCTCTTCTGTCCTAAATTGTTAAGAATTGTAGCTTTTGTGGCATTATATTTTGTAGTCATTATATATTTCCTATGCCTTTGCTATTTAACAACTGTGCCTCGACTTTTATTGTGACTTGTACTCAAAGCAAAATTAATCTGTTGAAATTATTTCTGATTTCCTTAAGAGATTTTAGTAAGATCACTGCATGGTCAATCTCTGTAATATATTCATTTGCTTTTTGTTTCTTTTAAAACGTTTTATGAGAACTATGCATGTTTTTATCGTGAAGCACTGACGGATTATTATTTCAGGTTTCTAGATTGATATATACAAATTCAGGACTTTCAGTGTTGGCGTTATCATCTAATGCTGTACACAAGCTCTGGAAATGGCAAAGAAATGAACGAATACAAAAGGTCTTAGATTTCCTAAAAGTTAAACTGATGGTTGCATTTATGTATTCCTTTTTTTTTTTGCATCCTTAAGTTTTCCATTTACCAAAAAGTTTGTTCTTGTAGGCCACAGCCAGTAGTCTACCGCAATTATGGCAACCTTCAAGTGGAATATTGATGACCAATGATATAAGTGATACAAACCCTGAGGATGCTGTTCCATGCTTTGCACTGTCAAAGAACGATTCTTATGTTATGTCAGCTTCAGGGGGGAAAATATCCCTTTTCAATATGATGACATTTAAGGTAGATGGTTTCCTCTAAACTTCTCTCTCGTATTGTACTGGTTGATTAAATATGCATGTCTATAAACCCTTTAATATATCTGACCGCACTTAGTGGGAAAAGGTTGTGTTGTTGATGTTGTCTATAAACCCTTTAATAGTGCCATGCACAAGACAATCTTGCTTGAAATTGGTGATTCTATACCATCCTTCACAATGCCCATTCTATAATCTACTTTCCCACACTTGCTGAAAACTAGAAAATTTATATCATAATATTCAATTTGCCCACCCTTATTTCCCGAATACCATTAAAACCTAATTATGGCAACATTTATGGTTTTATATTGTTGTATTAATGTCTTGCTTTCTGAATTGCAGACAATGACAACATTTATGCCCCCACCCCCAGCTGCAACATATCTGGCATTTCATCCTCAAGACAATAATATCATTGCCATAGGAATGGATGATTCTTCTATCCAGATTTACAATGTCCGGGTTGACGAGGTGAGGTCTTTGTTCTCTGAACTATAATTTTGCCAGGTTGTGATGATAGCTGGACTAGGGGATTGCTTACAATCTGGATGCTTCCCTTTCACAGGTTAAAACCAAGCTAAAAGGTCATCAGAAAAGAATAACAGGCCTTGCCTTCTCTCATACTCTTAATGTGCTTGTATCTTCGGGGGCTGATTCCCAGGTATGAATATTAGACAACATGTGAGTCTATATGCGCGCAATTTGCTATGCTACTAGGCTCGAAGCAGTCAACTGGTGACTATCAGAAGAAACTTATCACAAGTAGCCAAGCCAAAAGGATCAATGTAGTTTCCAGATGGTTTAACTCAACTTCATAGAAACCTGGTTCCCTGGAACCTGGTTAAATTTCACATTTCCATTGAAATCATTTCATTTGTGTGACTAACTGGGAAATGCATTTCTGTAGTGCATATCTTTAGAATTTTTTTCTCACTTGGTCCTTCTTGCCTCGGGCCTTTACAAAATTCTTTCGGTATTTGACAATCTTTTTCGTTCAACCAATAGTCTTTCTGTTCCTCTTCTTGATGTTGATGCTGGGTTATTAAGTCATCAATGCTTTTGTTTCTCTTTGCCGCAGTTATGTGTTTGGAACACGGATGGATGGGAGAAGCAGTCTAGTAAATTTCTTCAGATGCCTAGTGGCCGGGCTGCTGCTCCCCTTGCTGATACCCGAGTTCAGTTTCACTCAGATCAGATGCATTTGCTGGCAGTTCATGAAACACAGATAGCCATATACGAAGCACCAAAATTGGAATGCCTTAAGCAGGTGCCATAGCTTTTTGTGCTTAAATTTATTTTTGAGTATACTTTTATCCTGATTTATTATAAAGAATCAATTGTTGCATAGGCTTTAAAATTTAATCATTGCATATATACACCACTGGCATAAATGCTTTGCTTGCATATAGTAAGAGCACTAGCAAGCATTAAGATGAATTTTGCGGTGATTGTGATGTTCTGGTGTGTTTAATCGTTGTTATTTAGGGTCTAATTAGTGCTGCTTACATGTTGAACTATGTTTCTCATACAGTGGGTTCCTCGAGAAGTTAGTGGTCCGATCACACATGCTGTATATTCCTGTGATAGCCAGTTAATTTATGTTAGCTTTGAAGATGGAAGTGTTGGGGTTCTCACTGCTCTTACACTTAGATTGAGATGCCGAATACTACCAACCGCTTATTTACCTCCAAATCCAAGGTATATTTTCCTGTCAATACAATACGAAGGTCCACATATGTATTTGCTTTTATCCTTTTGTAATTAACATATCTAACAACAAATTTAACAGCTTAAGGGTGTATCCTCTCGTTGTTGCGGCACATCCATCCGAACCCAACCAGTTTGCCTTAGGACTTACAGACGGTGGAGTGCATGTACTTGAGCCATTAGAGTCGGAAGGAAAGTGGGGAACTAATCCCCCAATCGAAAATGGTGCTGGGCCTAGCACGACTTCTGGAGCAGCCGCTTCAGATCAACCCCAAAGGTGACAATCCCGTGTGCGTGGCTTCCACCGAGGACCTTAGGTGCATTTCTCTCTTCCGTGATGGTCCCTGTTCCTGATGTCATCATATTATATTTTTGAGGGGAAACTGTGGATTTAGGTACTATAGTTTTAGGATAATTGGATTAACCCAGTAGAATTCGTTATAGTGGCATTTGAAAACAGGTCAAAACAGATCGCTGTGAGGCAATTCCCGTCATTTAGGATAATTGGAAAGTGATGAACTATAGTTTGAAGTCTTGAAGAAATGCTGCGCCAGGCGAAAGGTCGAGATCGGACGACGAGGGGGTTCAGCAAAAGATAGTAGTTGGTTTGGTTAAACGGCCAGACTGTTTTATCCTTTTCTTTACTTTATAAGTTGCTGAGAATCTCAGAAATTAATTTAATTGTGAACCAGATATGATTTAGTCATTTTATTTTCTGTACTCTTTATTTTTCTGGTGATAAATAAGAAAGCGGCTTTGTTGTTGTTTAGTTCCCATTGCGTAGCAGTATACTATATTGACCCGTTTATGACAGCTCTCTTTCAGAACTTTTGCTCATAAGCACTTTATTAGAAGCGGTTTTACTATAAAAGTATAACGACGCTGAAATTTTTACTAAGAAACCAAGTGCTTCTACGATAAACGTTAAAAATTTCACTAAAACTCCAACCGCTTCCCCTGGGAGATCGCTTGGAATTACTCTTTTTTAAAGGAAGCAGTAGGCAAATGCTTCTTCAGAAAGTGCTTTTATTAGACAAAAACATGTTTCTCATCTGGAAGTTATTTTTAAAGTGACTAAAGACTGTTTTTAATGAAAATGTTTTGAAACCAATTGTTGACAAAAATCTAAGTGGATTCTAGAAACACTATTTAACGTTTCCTGCAAGAAACACATATTTGGTACTTTCTGCAAAAAGAACTGAGTCCCTTTAAAAGAACTGCTAAGTTCAGAACGAGTCCTTAATCATTGTTAGTTCTCCAAATATGCACACAGCTTACAATTAGACGAACAAAATTAGTTAAAACAAAAATTACAGCCGAAACCGCTACATGATTCAAAATCTACTTAACATGCATTCAACTACTATACACGACTTGTCGATCGCTATCTTCTAGTTCCGTCTCCGGCCGGATTTGGTCTGTCTTCTGGAGTTGGCAGGAGAAGATTGCTTTGAAGGTACAGGCAATACTGTTCCGCCTTTATGCTGTCCGAGCCCGTCATGTCATCAAGTGTTTTTTGGGCCCGAATATAGACTGTAAGATCTCTAATCTGCGATAACCATCGTTTAAACTTGTTAAGAACCCGACACTACTTCTGAACACTTGCAAACTAGCACAAAATTGGAATTGCAATACCTGTTCTTCCAAATCAACTATCTTTTCCTCTCTTAACCTCAGCGACTGCAGCTTCCCTAAAAGAACATGGAGTTTAAATCACGGAAGATACCAATATGGAAGAATTCACTGCCAGTTATAATCACAAACTAATATGTACCTCTCATCGATTTCCTTCAACTTTCTGCGCCAAGTTTCTTGGTCCTTGATGAGATTGCGGTTGATCTAAGCAGCAAACCCAAAAGCAAGCACAACAAAAATAAAGGACTGTCAGAAAAAAATGTGAATTCACTCGATACAACAATACCTATGCCGAAACCCAAAGCAAAAGTAACATTCAAGAGGATGACATTTACAAACTTACATCTGCAACAGCATTTCTTTCCTCAAGACATTTCTCCAGTTTTGCTTGCAAATCCTGCATCTTGGAATTTACAGCCTTCTCCACCGCTTCTGAAATTGTACTTTCCTTTTTGCTTTTGGCCTCCATGAATAGAGATTCGTAATACTGAATTTAAAGAAACAAAACAGACAGGAAAAGATTAAAGAAAATGATTGGAAGTAAAAAGGATTCTAACAAGATCAACAGCCACATTAGGTAGAGGGAAAAGTAAGAACACAAACAAAGGGGTTCAGTGGGGTTTCGTGACAGCCTTACTTGTCTTTGATTCTCAAGTTGACTGGCAACAAGTCGATTATATTCATCTACAATCTGTTGTAGCACAACATCTAAAGTCAGTTATGCTAATAAGAGAACGAAAAATTACGGATGGTGCTAGCTAGAGTACATACAGTGTCAACTTTGCTACTATAGAGGGCCTCACTAATTCCAGAATCAGCACTACATTCCAGTGACATACAACGAGAATCTGTACCATTTGTTATTTTTCCATCAACTTTTGACTGGTTCAGGCGGTGAACATAAGCATCACCAACATAATCCCAGATCTGCTGCCTGTCCAACTCAAGAGAATAGCAATGTTGCGTATCCTTCCAGTGCTTAACAGCATGGCCTTCAGTATATCTATTTTGAAGAGAGAAAAAAAAAAATCATCAATAACTTTCTGTGCATGATAAACCTAATCAAGACAACGTCATAGTTCATCAAGTAAATAATACATGAGCTATATTGCTTTCTTGCTTTGGAGACAGAAAAAACCAAAGAAGAAAGAACAATACATCAGTTTTACCTTCCACATCCTACAAAACCACATATTATACAAATCCAGGGGTTCACTGGTATTCCACAGACACAGCAAGCTGGTTTTTCATCCTGCTGCTGACATAGTCGGCAAACCTGGTGACAAGAATATCAAATCAGCAGCCATCCTTCAGAAACCCAACACCAAAACCATATCAAAGTTATGAAGAAGCCAATGGAAATTGAAGCTGAAGTTCATAAACCCAAGACCATAACCGCTGCACAGAGGAAATTTGAAATAACTAAACACCTTTTTCTTTCTTTTAACAAAGACTTTAATCCATTTTTCTACCCAAAAGGAGGTTACAGTTGATTCTTCTTGTGTTATCCCTACTACAGTACAAGATGGGACATGAACTAAGAGATTTCAAAAACTCAGAAAAGTATCCCAAAAAAAGGGCTACTTTGAGTGGGATGGTAACAAAGCTGACCCAGTAACCTCCCAACAAGACCTTTAGGTAACCACCAGGTGGTCAACAATCTGCAAAAGCTTGAAGATCAACTAATAAAAGAATAGCAGCATATACGAGAAACAACGAATATTACTACTGCAGTCACCAATGCTCTCAACCAAGATCTCTAACAAACTTAGACACGTAAAAGAAATTTTGGAACAAAGAACAACCAACTCACCTGACAAGACAAAGTCCATTTTGAAATGCAGGGACATTGAAACGAATGATCACAAAGTGTACTCACTATTCCACTAGTGTCTGCATCCAATCTCTCTAACATTCAAACAAATTGAACGAGGTTAGTATAAATATTGGGCATAACCGTTATAACTTTGGGGGGGGAAAAAAAAACAGCTCCTAGCATACCATAGAAAATGGCGACTCACCAAGGCAAACTGGGCAAGTAGGTAACTCAGTAAATTCGTTCTCTGGAATCCCAGCTACTTCTTCTGATTCTGTGTAGTCCACAGATTGCAGAAACAGGATATGGCACAACTCAGCCTGCAAAATATCAAACCAAAGGAATGGGCAGACAGAAGATCACTGTGTATACGATAATAAACCACGCACGAAGTTGAACAGACATAACGAAAGGCTCATTACCTCTCCAGGCGAATACTTCCTCCCATTAAAAGTGCTATAAAATTCACCAGCCGTGTCCCGATTCTTACATTCAATTAAAACACTGTACCTGTCTTCCATTCCATCGTTCCTAATCCAATAAAACAAACACTAACTCAGACTCTTTCGGTGACTAATGAAACAAAAACACAACATAATGAAACGTAAATTGCAAGCAAACATTTCCTTTCAGTCCAAAGTATTGATCTTTTAGATTTTTAGCTCAAATTACAGCGCTTCATTTTCTTTTGCAATTTATTTAAATTTATTAAAATTATCAATGCAAGCTTGTGAATTAATTGAAGCAAAAACACTATCCACATTATTTTGGAAACAAAACCCAAGTTTGCATTTTCCTCAATTTCTTCAGAAACCCAATTCAGGGTTTTGATCAAGCAACCAAACCCACAACCCCAAATCGAAAGACTAAAAATTTCCTCAACCATTGTACCTGATGAATACGAGTTCGAGGACATGGTCGATGCGGGACCCGCAGAAGCGGATGAAGTCGTCGAAGGAGAGGTAGTTGGGAACGGCAACGACGAAGAGGATGGGAGAGCGAGAGGCGGGGCACGGCATGCGACGACTGTCTGATTTTCCGAAACAAGTGGGCGATTCCTCTTCGCTCGCTGAATTTGGGTTTGGGGGTGGTTTTAGGGTCAGAATTAGCCGCAGCGGTGGTCTTGGAAGTTGTGACGGCGGTGAAGTCGGCGTCTTCGAGGCTGAGAGGATGGTTGGTGTCCACTGAGTGAACTCGGAGGATGAACATGGTGGTTGTGGGCTGACTGAGTCGACTCAGTTGGGGGAAGGAATAATAGAGAAAATGGGACCAAGATTAACAAGCTGCTGATATTCGCGGGAAGAGGCGGTTTTCCCATTTGTGAGTTTTATTTTATTTTATTTTATTATTTTTAGAAATTCTCTTTTACAAATTATTTATTATTATTTTTTTCTGGATTTTCCGAGTTATTATTAAGAAGTTAAACTTATATTGCTAGGAATATAAATGAAGATGAATACTACCAAACCGTAGTATTGAATGACAATATTCTATATTTTTAAATTTACATTAAAGAACAAAAATGAATTTAAACTTAAAACACAATAAATTAGAGAAAAAAAATCCTAATTATCTCGATAGTACACCACTTGCTAACTCATTTATCTTCTTAAATTAACTTTTATATTCTAATATGTCGGGAGTTAGCTCATTTAGAGTGCATTCATCTTTACACTCAAATTTAAATCTTTATTTGGAATATCGTCCATATAAACACTAAACATTTTGTGATTTGATGCAAAACAAAGTAGCCTCGCATTTTGCATAAATTTGGTAGTATGATCCATCACTCGTACTAAAATTGGAATTCCGTCCAAATAAAGAAAAACGAGTAAAATGAAATTGGCCAATAAGAAATATCATTTAAGACAAATAGTAACATACTAATCACCTTCTAATACCTATAAAACGAAAGCTTCTTAATAACAAGTATTTATTGAACGAGTGATGCGATAAATATTTATCGGCCGAATATGCTCTAAGAAAGGTTGCGTTAGAAGTAAAAAAAAAGGTTTCGTCCATCGTTAAGAGTCCGTTACATTCGCATAAGACAAATCCACCGCATTTGAATATTTAACGTCGAAGAAAAAGTCCACAATCCGTCAAGTGCCGTCTAATCAATCGTCTGTTATTTAAACCCCGTAATTAAGCGAAGGGTTTAGTCCTTAAGATTACGCGCTTTCGAAGAAAAGCGAAAAGAGTGCAACAGATACTCTCCCGATCGCTCTCTGCTTTCGCAGCACAGCTCCATTGAGTGATTCTGGCCGTACGGACTCAATCTCCACCGTCTACGGCGGAGACCCAAGTCAAAAGATCTCTCCTTTCATCTTCTACGCTCTCGATCGGCTCCTCCGCAGCCCTGAACAGAGCAGAGGTAAAGTTACTGATAAACCCCTTTTTTTGTTGTTTCTTGGATTCAATCGAGTTCATCAATGGCGCCGAGCACAATTCGCAAGGCGATTGGGGCGGTGAAGGATCAGACAAGCATTAGCCTGGCCAAAGTGGCCGGAAACATAGCGCCGGACCTCGAAGTTCTGGTGGTTAAGGCCACCACCCACGACGAGGACCCGGCTGATGAAAAGTACATAAGGGAGATCATAAACCTGACCGCCCACTCGCGCGGATACGTCACGGCGGCGGTGGCGACTGTGTCGAGGCGTTTGAGCAAAACCCACGATTGGATTGTGGCTCTCAAGGTCCTTATGCTTGTTCATAGGGTTTTGGTTGATGGGCACCCTTCGTTTGCGGAGGAGATTGTGTCTGCAAGTCGGACAGGAGTGCGGTTTCTGAATTTGTCGGCTTTTCGTGACGAGGCGCATTCGGGTTCTTGGGATCATGCCGGGTTTGTGAGGTTTTATGCCATGTATCTTGAGGAGAAGGTGGAGTTTGAGGTTTATGAGAGGAAATCGAGAGGCAGGGAGGGCAGTAGTGGATTCGATCAGGAGAGGGAGAGAGCGAATCGAGAGGAAAGGAGGGAATTTGAGTACGAAAATTATCAGAGTGATCAGGCATTGGAGAGAGAGAAGAGAAGAGAGAGTAAGGATAGTACACCGGTGCGGGAAATGCGGCCGGAGAGGGTGTTGGTGAGGCTGAATGATTTGCTGAGGGTTCTTAATCGGATTTTGGGTTGCAGGCCGGTGGGTGCTGCAAAGAGTAGTAGGTTGGTGATCAGTTGCGCTATACGAGGTTGTGAAGGAGAGTTTTAGGCTGTATGTTGAGATATGTGAGGCATTGGGGGTGGTGCTGGATAGGTTTACTGAGATGGATTATGCGGATTGCGCTAAGGCTTTCGATGCTTATGTCAATGGGGCAAAGATGATTGATGAGCTTGTGGGTTTTTATGGTTGGTGTAAGGATATGGGAATTGCACGTTCGTCTGAGTTCCCGGAGGTGCAGAGAATAACTGATAAGCTTTTGAAGTCGCTTGAGGGTTTCTTGAAGGGGAAGACAACGAGGCCAAAGAGTCCTGAGAGAAACAGGGAGGATAATGTTCAGGTTGACGAGGAGGCGAAGCAGGATGTGAATTATGAGGTGAAAGCTCTTCCTCCGCCAGAGATTTACACTGCTTCTCCTCCCCTGCCATCAGAAGTCCGGCCTAAGCCTTTGCAGCATCAGCCTGTGACAGAGGATTTGGTGAATTTGAGGGATGATGGAATCACAGCTGATGAGCAAGGAAACAAATTCGCTTTGGCTTTGTTCTCTGCGGCTCCTACTGCTACTAATACAAATGGGACCTGGGAAACATTCCCTTCAAATGGAGAGCCTGAAATGACTTCGGCTTGGCAGACACCAGCTGCTGAGAGTGGTAAAGCAGACTGGGAATTGGCATTGGTGGAGACGGCGAGTAATCTGTCAAAACAGAAGGCTGATTTGGCTGGTGGTTTTGATTCATTGTTATTGAGTGGCATGTATGATCAAGGCGCTGTGAAGCACCATGTGAGCGCCTCGCAATTGAGTGGTGGGAGTGCGAGTAGCGTGGCAATGCCGGGGGCAGGCAAGTCCGCTACACCAGTGCTGGCTCTGCCTGCCCCGGATGGGACTGTCCACGCAGTGGGGCAGCAGGACCCTTTTGCCGCCTCCCTCTTAGTGCCTCCTCCGTCATACGTGCAGATGGCAGACATGGAGAGGAAGCAACATTTGCTTTCACAGGAACAACTGCTTTGGCAGCAATATGGAAGAGATGGGATGCAAGGGCAGTTGGGGTTGGCTAAGATTTCTGGCGGCTACTATGGCAGTGCTCCTCAACCGATGATGCCTCAGCCGGGAGGGTACTACTATGCGCCCTATTGACATTGGATGCCTTTCCTCCCCTGAGCAATTTACAGTTTTTGGATAAAGCTTATGCTGCAGATACCTTCTTATGGTACTTTCTTTTGGAAGACGTTACATCATTTTTAGGTTCCTTGCCATTGTGCTTATTTCTGGACTTACATGCATTGTATGCACTATGCAGTTATAACATAAAAGGTTTGGGATTATATATTGAGAGCAAATTTGGGTTTTCAAATATGTGTGATTGGCTTGAGATTTCGTTTGCAATATGCTACAATTTTATTACTTAGGTATTTTTACTTCTCGCCTACTCTTGGCAATTTTTGGCCTTCCATCTTCTTCAACTCATTCCATTCGACGATTGAAAATTTAGAAAGAGGTGTGTGAGAAGAAAAAAAGATGTGTGGATAGCAATACTCTTATTTAAAAGCTTAGGGTGTAGCAAAATTGCAAGAAATGAGGGTTTAGATGTTTTTTCTTAAACTTCAAAAAAAATATTAGAACTCATGATCGTATAGCCCATAGTTTTTGTGATGACAACAACAACAAAGCTTTTTTCCCACTAAGCGAGGTCGGCTATATGAATCCTAGAATGCCTTTGTACTCGATTTCACAATTTTTGTGAACAATAAAAAAGTAGATTTTTCAAAATCTTTTATGTGCGTTTTTAAGTAAAATGTTTTAAGCTCAGCCATTTTATTTTTGCACTTGATGTATTGCCGTAGTGTCATGAGTTTTAAACTTTTTTCTGGTAAAAGTTGCAGTTTATAATTTATGGGTTTTTAAAGGAGAAGAGATCATCTTCGGATCTTTCTCACAAAGATTATCGAATTAAGTGATTCGGATCTTTGAAATTTATCTAACACTAAAAATTATTATAGATTTTAAGGGGTCAAAATAGATGGATTGTTGGATAAAATTTTAAATATCGGATCACTTAATCCAGAGATCTCGTAGAAGAGATCCGCTTTTTAAAGAAAATGAATAAAAAAAAAAGTCTGCTACTATACATTACAAAATTCCTTAAACCCAAGCGGGTCAGACACTCACCAAAACCTCAACCTCGCGCCAATTCACTCCAAGGCTCAACCTCCCTCCACCTGAATATGCATCAAAACGTCGTCGTCTTGGACAACGGCGGCGGCCTAATCAAAGCCGGCCTCGGCGGCGAGCGCGAACCCTCGGCCATTATACCCAACTGTGTGTACCGCCCGATATCCTCCAAGAAATGGGTCCACCCCTCCCCCACCGAGCCCATGGACCTCACCTCCGCCGCCGTCCGCCGCCCAATCGACCGCGGCTACCTAATAAACCCGGACCTCCAGCGGGAGATCTGGGCTAACCTCTTCTCCTCGCTCCTTCGGGTCAACCCGGCTCAATCCTACCTCCTCCTGACGGAGCCCCTCTTCGCCCTCCCCTCCATCCAACGCGCCACCGACGAGCTCGTCTTCGAGGACTTCAACTTCTCGGCGCTCTACGTCGCGAACTCCCCCTCCCTCGCCCACCTTTGCGAGGCCAGCCGCCGCCAAATCAAGGCGCAGTGCAGCCTCGTCGTCGACTGCGGCTTCTCCTTCACGCACGCCGCCCCGGTCTTCCAGAACTTCACCATCAACTACGCCGCCAAGCGGATCGATTTGGGCGGCAAGGCATTGACCAATTACCTCAAGGAGCTCGTCTCTTACCGCTCCGTCAATGTCATGGACGAAACGTTTCTCATCGACGATGTCAAGGAGAAGCTCTGCTTTGTTTCCATGGACGTTGATCGTGACCTCCAGATTGCAAAGTATGTAGCTTTTCTTAATTTTTTTTGTTAGAATTTCTGAATTTAATTTGATTTTGGTTGTGGGTTTGTTGAAGAGACAAGAATCTCATGTCCCAAAATTGAACAAATATGTAATGAGTGAGTGATTATACCCTTAATGACATCGAGGCCTTTTGTGATAAAATTCCGCCCTTGCTGTGCTAGTTGGTGGTAATGAGTGATTCGACCCATAATGGGGATAATATCAGTGTTATTAGTAGTTGGCCGCTGGTCCGTTTAACTGAAATCTTGACAGGGTTTTTGTTGTTTTGAAATGGGTGTTTAGGAAACATGGGAAGGACAATCTTTTCAGGTGCACTTATGTGTTGCCTGACGGCATTACGCACACAAAGGGGTTTGTTAAGAACCCAGAGGAGGCGAAGAGATACTTGGCTTTGAGAGATGGTGACAAACTTAAAGATGTGGAGAAGAAAATGGATTTGGATCGGATGGAGGTTACAGACAAGTTGGCGGATCGAAAGAAGATTGATTTGAGCAAGAATGTAAATTTTTCTCTCATGTGTTTGAACGAATTGAACAACTGCTTTGTTTGTTTAGTAGTTTTTAGTGTGGTTTGGTGGGTTTCTTGTAGGAATTTGACCTGACAAATGAAAGGTTCCTGGTGCCAGAGATGATCTTCCATCCTGCTGATCTGGGTTTGTTTTCCATTCTTGTTTCTTGTTTCAATTTGGGGTTTTGTTTACTTTTTGATGCATATACATTGTATTATGTGTTGCTGAATCAACGTTATAATCTCCTCTTCGGGTTCATGTTGGTTGGCACTTATTACTACCGGTCAGCTTTCGCAAGTTGTTGGTATTTGTAGAGCATAGCATTGGAAATATGTTCTTTAGCTGTTTCAATACAAGGTGATGGCGTGTGGTATAGTAAAATGGGGATAGTCAGTGTTAATCTTTACTCAGTCCGTTCGGAACTATATGCTTAGTGCGAAGGGAAGTGCTAACTTGGGCCTGTTTTCGCAGGAATGAATCAGGCTGGACTAGCAGAGTGTATTGTTCGAGCTGTCAGTTCCTGCCCACCACATCTACAGCCTGTACTTTATGAAAAGTGACCTTTCAGGCTCTGCATTTTTCTTAAGGAAAATAGAAAAGAATTCATTTTCGATACTTACTAACGTGTCTGAGTTGTGTTGGCAGCATTCTCTTAACAGGTGGAAGCACTCTATTTCATCGACTAGCTGATAGACTGTATGGCACTGGTCACTTTTCCATTTAAATGTGCAAGATCAAAATTCATACGAAAACATTCTTTCAGACTTTTAAGTTTTTATTGATATTTTGCAGAGAGAGGGAGCTGCGGCCTCTTGTTCCTGATGACTATCCAGTGAAGATAACTCCTCAAGAAGAGTAACGTTTCTCCTTCTACCTACTTGCATTTTTTCGACTTGAAAAAAATGATACCACTTGACGTTTTATTAAAATTTTTCATGTTTCTCCAGCCCCATACTAAGCGTTTGGAGGGGAGGATCTATCTTAGCATCAAGTCCGGATTTTGAAGCAGTGTGTGTCACTAAGGCTGAGTACGAGGAGCTTGGATCTGCTCGGTGTCGCAGGAGATTCTTTTAACAAGTGCATTTAATCTTGAAGGGTATGCTATCTGAAGACCATCATCACCTTTCACTGTAATTTACCGTGTCGTTCTGTTTGGTTGAGAAGATTATTAGTGATGGAGTTAAACTATATCACCCGTTTTAAATTTTCTGGACAGCAGCTTTGGCAAGCAAATAGTCCACAAGGGAAAATGCAGCTAATGCGCCTGTCACTTTTTGTTGTCACCATTCACCAGTCACCGCTGAAGAAAAGGAAGTAGAAGCAGGCTTCGCAGCTTCAAGTACTAGCAGTGGCACGCTCGCAACTAACACAAACATTTTTTCCCGACGTCTTTGTTGGTAGAAATCGAGCTGGAAGATTTGAGGTTCGTCCCACTTGCCACGGAAGCCTGCCTACACTATCCAGAGAACCGATTATTGTTGTGGACTGGATTTGCGTATCAGAGGAAGTGTCCAGGAGACGGCGACTCCTTGGCCGTTAGAAGCTGCATCCCGGTGTCTTGTAAATCAAAGTCGTATTTGATCTCAGCTTTCTGTAAGCTTTAATCTAGCGGTCCAAATCAAGGTGAAAAACATATCGTATTAAAGCACACCCACGATTCAAGATTCAAAGCATTTTCGACTATCAGATTGAATAAATTCAAGATATGACAAAAAATTAACAAAGGTGCAGAAGGCAAAATTAGGTGTGTAAATGGCACTATCGTTGACATATTAGCGTATTCCATACGAGCTCCCGCCCCTCAGCATCTTGAAAAAGAAATATTTAATAGTAAAATTCCAAATAGCGTAGCATTCGATCTCTTTTCGTAATGAAGAAATAACATCATTACATACATTTTCTACCAAAAAAATTTCCTATACTTTGAGATTTGTCCTCTGAAAATTTTTCTACGCTTACAACATTTTCGAGTAATATATGATATACTCCTCCCAGTCGATTACTATCCCAAGATATCGATTTTTCGTGTCCTGAATCCCGTAAGAGCATCGTACAATACAAGGGATTTCTTCAACCTGCTTCCAATTTAACCTGACGTCGAACTGTATGCAATGTAAATATGGACAAGTTAAAGGACTCGATTGTAATCAAGTGACTAGGGCCGATCCTTCATTCAGCGAATGGTTGCGAGTCCATGCATAGATGCACCAGTTTCCTTTGGTATTGCCCGTAATATTCGCTGACTGCCATAACGTCTTTGCTCTCGGGGCCTAACCCAGGCAAGTTGAGCAGCTTGTCCTTGATCAAAGAACTAGATTCATCGTCGCAGTTGCCTAAATCAGAGATGAAGTTGGCATGAACTTCTCGGCAAGCAAGGATGAACATAGCGGCCGTGTCAGGTTGTTGGGCCTCACGAAGTGCTGCCAACGCCTCTTGTAGTGCACCAGCTGCAACATACAAAATGAGGGCCCTCCATATGTTGTGTTCAGCGCAAAGGACGTGCGAAGCCCATCTTAGCAACACCCTGGAAGAACATCAATACGCACAACTCAGCTAATATAATGACGAAAATCAGGGGACTAGTAATCGTGCAAGTTAGGCAAAAGGTAAGCCGCAAAGATGGCGATGACCAATGAGTTTACATAAAGTGAAGACACATTATGGATTTGCGATATCAAAAGAAATATACCGGGAAGGCGAAAAATAGCAAGCTAATCAATTAAAGTACACAGATGAAACTGGAGATGACAAAGGAGGCCTCCGAAATGATAAAAAGAAAGCAAATAACCTTGCATAGTCGGATCCTTTTAAATGCGTAGCAGCTAAAGTTGCAGCATCAGTCCAGCACCCAGCATCTTGTAGCTGCATAACAGATGACATAGTAATTAGTACCTAAAAGCGTCGTGTAAACCATTTTTTAGTGCATGATATCAAAAGAAATCTCACAACTTAGTTAACTGGGTTTACAGTAAATTTGCAGAACCTAACCTGAGAACACGCTTCCTGATACCTTCCAACAGCGCAAAGAAGATGAGTACCAGACAACGACCTGTCAGTCCTGACCATGTTGGCGGCAACAACCTAATAATATAAAAGTATTGAAAATCCTGAGACCCTTAAACGACTTTATTCCAGTGATAACATGCATTTGATGCCATGAGTTGATCCAAGTAAGTTAAAACACCTTGACGGCAAGTTCAAGGAGAGACTTTGACACGGCAGAAGAAAGAGCTACAGCACGTAAAGCATTTGCAGAGAAGTAATTGCTCTCCGGAGGAGTGGAAAGCAATAAACTAACCGCAGCTTCTAAGTTGCCAACTGAGACAAGCCTATATCATCAAGAACATAAAGTAAATCAAAAACCTCTGAAATGGAAAATTTTGCTTTCTTTTTGAAGCCTAACGTTTTACATATATAAGTAACTGGGCAATTTGGGTATTTGGCATGTTGCCAGAGACGAAGATGACAGGAAGGATGGAACTTGGCAAAAATTAGGTTTCCTGTACATTTTCTCATGCACATGTGCTTATATGCTTTGAAACATATGGAATTCTACCAAGCAATTAAATATTCACCCAATAGCAACTAAACCAGCCAGCATCAACTCTAACTTAAACATACTCAGCAGTTAGTTTGGCAGTTCTTCTAAGAAATAAGAATGATATGGAATACTCACTCATGTACACGATTCTGAATAGCATCTTCTCCCTCCAACCTCTCATGCCAAGGAATACGTTCACTGGCATTTGCCCACAAATCCTCTGGCTCAAAAGCCAATAACCTGAGCTGACCTTGATTCTGCTAACCATAGAAGTCGATAAATTACAGAGATGTTCAAAGCTTATGCGGAGGAAAAAATCACACAACAGTCAGAATTGAAGAGCACAAGATATAGGAGAGATGTGAGGTAACGTAACGACCTAGCTTAAAAAGTTGTACACAAAACTTGAGAATAATATCATCCAGAAATGTCGCTTACCATTTCATCTTTCTTTTCTGTTCCAGACACTGACTTTCCTTTTGATGTTATCCTACTCAGCATAGATGCATCATCAATCTCTGGAATGGGTGCTGACGCAGGGGTTTTTTGTGGAGACTTATTTACCATCTTATTCATCAAATGGTTAAGAGCACGAGGCAGTTGTAGCCAGAAAAGAGCTTCTGAGAATTCACCAAAAATTGCAGCAGCAAAAGCAAATCTCACAGAAAAACCTTTGTTAACCACCATTGCATATAATTTTGCCCTCTCATCATCCAGTATGCAGCCTGGGGAAATATAACATTTATAATATAAGAGAAAAGAACACAAAATAATACGACACTTAGATATAGCTCCGCATGAGTAGAAACATCACAAGAAAGACAGAGGACCCACCTTCTTTACGATAAGGTTCTAAGACTTTAAGCAGCAATTCTGGTACCACAGGGTCACCAATAGGTGGTAAATCGATCATGTAACTTCGAAGATCCTCATTGGACTTGGGAGTTCCTGGAATTTTGTGAGGCCTCTTATCTAAAGTCGTACTGCAAGTATTAAACCAAGAGGGCTCGACACCCAATTGTAAGATCACTCTTAATGCCTGTAACAAAGAAATCAATAAATTCCAGTTGGTCAAAACTGAATCTCTACTATCTTCTGTTAACAATAAAACATAAAACATAAAGCAGGCTATGTGGTTATTGATTCAGAACCACACTCAACTTTTCCAGTACATTCTGCTATTTTCAGTATACAATTTGGTTAGGAACTCTCTTCTAACAAGAAGTAGGTCCATAAGGTTGCAGATTAGCATATAAGAACGAACATAAAACTCCAGTTGTCAAAGGGCACGATTGACTAATAATCAACAGAACTGGAATACATAAGATATTGCTATCCTGAAATAAAATAGAAGGAAAATGGAAATTAAAAATCATTGTTACCAGGGCATGTGGTGTTGGAAGCAGTATAGGAGAGCATAGAGGCATAGGACGGAACCTCTCTTTTATAGATCTGGGCTGGTGGGTATGACCAAGTTTTTTGTCAATTCTGCATAAGAGTAAGATTGTTAAAGCACAGAACTGACGACTCCCATACAGGCCATCCGCATTCCCCCCTCCCCAATACTTAAATAACCTGAGATATAAGGAAATTCCTCAACAAAGTTTGAAACATACATATTAATCTCAACAAGGCGAAAGCTACTATCAGCTCCAGCTATGCACAATAACAGTGGATCACTTTTGTCAGTCCGCAAAGGCAACCAATCAAGTTCCAACACAAGGGTTCCAGGAAATTGAGGCTGTAGAAGAGAATTGGCTAATGGGTCCGGAGAATCCTGCAATTAGAAAACATGTAGAGAGTTATGGAAAAATGATAGGAAAGGTCATCTAGACAAACCATATAAATATTTCTTTTATACTTACAAGGTCAAATACTGAAAATGTATTGTCATAGAATAGTACAGCAACGCGCCCCCTACTGCGGTCTCCAGGCACAACAGGTGAGAATTTAATTCGCCGGATACCTTCTCTATGAGTGTTAAACGAAGAAGAATGTCCAGTAGTTACATCCCACCAGCGAATATTTCCTGATCTGTCCCCCATAACCTGAAAATAATTTACAGAAAATATTGAAACAATCTGATATAAAATACCAATTGGATGAAAAGAATACAAAATTTTTGATACATACTACATGAGGCAACCGGTAGGCCATGGCAGTAATTAGTCCATCCGATGAGACAAATGAAGAAGAAGGCCATTTCGGTCTAGAAACAAGCAACAAAGAACCACAATGAGAAAAACTTATTGACATGAAATAATAGTTCATACGAGGGTGAATGCTAAGATTGAAAGTAGAAATACACCTGAAGTCACGGATCCTTCTCCCATGAACCTCAAAAACACCAAGAGCACCATTTGCTAGTGCAAATGCAAAGCTTTCAGAAGTGTCATCTTGAGATCCATCCGAGCTCTCTGCATTTCAGGGAAGAAGAAACTTTATTTTTGTTTAATTATACAATCCAATAATACAGAAGTAACTCATATAGACCAAAAACCAGTATACATATTATAGAAGCTTATCAAGTAAATAAGCTCACTGGAATCAGATGATGCCTTTGTTGGAGAGGATGTCCCATCTGATGCCACAGATGTGTGATCTTTGGGGGATGATGATGATTGCTTAGCAGGTCCATTTTGAGCAGGTCGGGGAACTGCTGGGAGGGTCCATTCCAAAACCGTAAATGGAAGAGCTAATGATCTAAGCTACACGAGACACAGACCGTAATAAATACCAAGATGAGGAATCAAAATCTTAACCTCTCCACTGCGAAAAGTTGTGAAATGCATAAAATAAGAAAAGGCATGCTTTCGTAGTAGTTTGAGCTTTGAAAATTGTGAGGTTTCTGTTAAATGTAGTTGAAACAATCATTTTCTGGAAAATATGTCAAGTTGGAATGTAAAATAACCAAAGAAAATAGCAAACTTACCATTATAGGACTCTTTGTCATTGCCCAAACCTCTACTGGTGCATCACGAAGCAAAATAAGAAGGTACCTGCCATTTTGTCAACAGCATAAGCAAAATGTTACATTGTGTAGCTCAGGAAGCTATGAAGAATAACAGCTGATGTATGAAAGCAGGGGGAAGCAAAAAACACTAAGTTAGAGACATGTGATCAAAATAGTCCAATTTACCATATTGAGCCAAGAAGCAAAAACATTTTATTAAATTAATATCTAAAATACACGACGAAGTATAGTCAAAAGTGAACACTTCTAGTTTCTTTTCAGCTAAGTATCATTAAAATTTGATAAAACCAAAAACATGACACAGAACAGAATATATAGGACTTAACTAATAACCATAAATAAAGACAAGAATCTGGGTCTGAAGTCAACCTCCCAGAGGATGAGGCTCTTAATGCTCTTATGGGTGCACGTTCAGGCTTTTGCAAAACCCGGAATTGTCTATTTAGGCCACTTCTAGCACAGGTCACAATGAGCCTGTTGATGAAACCTCCAGATTTTTCACTCACCTAAATATATAAAAAAAAAAAAAAAAAAAAAAGTCATGCTACATATAATGATCAACACACATTGATAATTATTTATAAATAGAAAAAAAAGAGGAAAAAATACCAATCAAGGATAATGCTGAGCATAAAAGCACTAAGTAGTAGATGCATCAAACAATTAATGTGATGTTTGAATTCATCGCAACGTACCTGACTGTATGAAAATGAAACCAGTCTGGAATTTCCAAGCCATCGTAATCCCCTAACAGTACCATTATGAACAGAAAAACTTGCAGCGACAGCATTGGCAGAAACATCAACAACATCAACTGTCCCACTTTGAGTTCCCAAAGCAACCAATGGAACAGCTACAACAGGATAGTTCCCCCCACCTTCATACATAATCAACTTACATGGTATCATAATTTCTCCGAATTGATGCTAACTCAAAATATAAAATCAACATATACAGTAGATTAGTGACAAGATTAACTAACGGCCCAAAGTAGCTGTTGAAGAAGGTGAAGGTACAGCTAGCATAGTCACTGCTGAAGAAAGAAGCTGAAGCTGTCCAACTAAGCTAATCTGCATCAGTAAGTTGGCTTTGTAAGCATGCAGGCATGTAGTTTCAAATCTGCAATATCGGGGATTGGTTGCAAACTTATATATCGTTTTGAATGAACTGAATTTACAGATAGATATGACAGAAAGTACACAAAACAAAACCAGCTGTGTTCTGAACTATATGCAACAATAAAAAACATATGTTATAGCGCCTGTGTACATGTACGGGTGGGCACGTGTGTCGTTTTGGGTTATCTAAACAAAGTTGTGTACCAATTAATACATAGATATATTTAATAAGACGGGGAGTGGGAATTACATCTACTGATCCAAGTCACATCCATTGTTCAAGTTATACTATATTCTCCAGCCAGAAAACCATCCAGTTAAAGCCATTAACCATGAAAAAATAAAAGTTGGAAGAAACTACAAATGAACCTTTAGTGATAAGTCTGTATGGCTGACAATAGAATTTGAAGGTCGGCTTCTATCACCACTGATCTTTTCTATTTGTTTACCGGCTTCCATGTCAAGTCCTCCGGTAGAAGAAACTATAATGTTTGTATTTGTCCCAGGAACTGGCACTTCACTGATACCCAAGTTTGTGTCATCCTTTCGATTATCTTCAAGCCCTTCAGCAGTCAAAAGCCAGTTCCATATTTTTCCATCATCAGAAATTGAGATCAAATGCGTTTTAGAAACAAGAAGAGGTTCATCACAGAAATCAAAAGGATTATCGAAATCCACATCAGGGAAAGGAGAATGAGGCACATCATCAGAGTAAATCTTGCCGACATTCTGGAGGGTCGAATCTGATTGGGAGATGACAAGAGCAAGCAACGAAGGAGAAGGGACAGATGTACCAATTGACGGCATCAGCTCTTCCATTGAACACATTATGTGTACCTGCTCTCCTCTGCACACATATACAATATGCATAATAAGTATAATACATTACTACATTTCGGTTTTTTGATCTAAACACTTCATAAACTTTGCCCGAAAATGGTTCAAATGCCTATAGATTCCAATACAATTTCACATTCTACATCCTACATTTGATCAATGGAAATTGAAAAGGCTACAATCAATCGAATTTCAAAAGACTCACTCTTTTCGGCGCCAAGTACTGAGCTTCCCGTCAAGATGAGCGCAGTAGAGGAACTCGTGATTCGGATCCGGAAGCACATCGAGAAGCTTGCCGCAGCCGCGAGGCAATGTGGCAGAGAAAAGCGGCGTCTCATACTGCAAATCGAACACCACCAGCTCCCTCGGGAACGAGACGAAAAGAATGTGCCGCCACTGTGGCGAGAATGCGAACCTCACGGCGTAGATCGGGAACGCCGCCGAGGCCGACGACGAGTTCCCGGAGACTCCACCGGCCAAGTCCCTCTCCAGCTTCAGCAACTCGGTGGAGTCGGTCCGAATCTGAAGCTCCTTGATGACGACATCGGATTCTGTCTCGCCTAACACGGTGACAGAGAGCAGGAATCCTTTGAGCCCGACGACACAGAAATGGCGCGAATCGAAGGGGTCACGGCGGATGCAGGAGAGAATTTCAGGCGCCGCGTCGTATTTCCAGAAGCATCGGCCGGTGGAGCTGTTGTAGAGGGAGAGGGAGGAGAATCCGGAGATGGAGGCGAGGAGGTAGGAGTCGGGTCGGGCCTGGACCCACGCGAGGTCCTGGATAGCGAGTTTGGAGGGGGAGGAGTCGGTATCGAACCAGAGGACGGGAGACTTGAGGCGGAGGTCGAGGAGGGCGATGCGGCCCTGGCGATCGCCGGCGGCGAGGAGGAGGTGGGAGCTGGAAGGCTCGGTGGAGAGGAGGTCGCGGCGGAGAGGGAGCGGGGTCCAGCGGACGGAGGTGACGAAAGGCGAGAGAGACGATGACGTGGAGGAGGATTGGGTGGGAGGTGGCATAGGGATGCTGACAACGAGCTGCATTGAGCGGGCGTCGAGGACGGAGATGGAGCTGCCGGAGGGGAATGCGAGGAGGCCGGAGAGGCTGAGGTCGGCGGATCCGAAGTTGTTGCGGCTGGGCGGGCCCGGCAGCATGCAGTCCCAACAGTCCTGGACTGTGGACGCCGTCGAACCTCCAGGGCTCGACATTGTTGCGTTGTGTCGGACTTTCTTCGTCTACCGCTGCGACTTCAAGTATATCGACATTTCGGACACACAGCGAGAACAACGTTCGGTGTTTTCACTTTTCATCTTTATTTTTTATTTATAAATATATATATATATTGTAAATGTTAGTAAATTAAATAATTAATTGTTTAGAGAAAAAAAGGGGATTGAATCTGTCTATAGACATAATGTTTTCTGTAAATGCTGTAAAGCATCGTCTACATATTATTTGTTAAAATTATAGTTAATGTAAGGTTTCTTTTTAATTCTTCTTCATTTCTTAAAGTAATTTTCTCCTTCATTAAATTTTTTATAAAATGTAGTTATTTAAAGAATTATTATTGACATTCTAAATTTTTATATTTAAAATATATATTTATGAAGAATGCATACTTATAGTGCTAATAATATTTTTTTTATTTACTTTATTACTATAATTTAATTAAAGAAAAATTAATGAAAAAACTTGAAAACTTTGAGTTTTAACGATAAAGACAAAATAAAGGGTAAAGTGAATAGTAACAATATTGATTTTTGGGTAAGGTACAAAAAACTACCTCAACTATTGGGGTCACGGTAGTTTCATACCTCCGTCAATTTTTCTGTTAAGTGCTGACTGTGGCAAGAGAAGGTAACCACTCACTAATCCAGCTGAATTAAAAAATAATTAAATATATTTTTAATAATTAAATATTAAAAAATTAAGAATAAAAAAACAAAAAAAAATTCCTAGGGTGCGGCATCCCCTTTCCTTCACCCGCACCATTTTCAATTTTTTTTGTTCTTCTCTCTCCTCCTTCTTCTTCTTCTCCTGGGCCGAAACTGGATTTGTCACTTTTTTTTTTTTTTTTTCGTTCTTCTTCTCTCTCCTTCTTCTTCTTCTTCTTGGGCCAAAACTGGGTATGGATTTTTTTTTTCCTGGGTTGCAGGTAGAGGGAAAAGGGGACGAAGATGAAGATGGGGAGGAGACAGAAAGGGTTCTTCTTCTTCTTGGGCCAAAACTGGGTTCGAAATTTTATTTATTTATTTTTTTTTGTTTCTGAGTTGCAGGTAAAGGGAAAAGGGGAAGAAGATGAAGATGGGGGAGGAGAGATGAGTGCGCGTTGGATTGGTGGGGGGGGGGATGAATTGGGTTGGGTTGGGGTTTTATGTTTTTTTTTTGTTTTTCTTTTCTCCTTTTTCTTCTGCTTCTTCCGCAGGAGGCGATGTTTTAATTTTTTTCTTCTTCTTCTTCCTTCTTCTGGGTTGCAGTTTGGGTTTTTTCTTTTTCCTCCTCCTCTTCTTCCTCTTCGCCTCCTCCTTCTTCTTCTTCCACGGGCGGGGCGGGAGGGGGGGTTGAGTTGATGGGTTTTCTTCTTCCTCTTCCTCATTCTCCTTCTTCTTCTCCTTCTTCTTCTTCTTCTTCTTCTTCCTTCTTCTAGGTTTTTTTTTTTTTTTTCTGGGTTGCAATTTCCATTTTTTTTTCCTCCTCTCTCTCTCCTTCTTCTTCTTCGATTCTTCCTCTTTCTCCTGGGGGGGGGGGTGTTGGGGGGTTGGGTTTTCAAATTTTTTTTTCTTTTTTTTTTTTTTTGTGTTAAAGATTAAGCAGGAAGAAGATGAAGTTCTTCTTCTTCGATTCTTCCTCTTTCTCCTGGGGGGGGTGTTGGGGGGTTGGGTTTTCAAATTTTTTTTTTTTTTTTTTGTGTTAAAGATTAAGCAGGAAGAAGATGAAGATGGGGAAGAGAGAGGGGGGAAGGGACGACCAAGGGTTTTTTTTTTATACTTTTATTTATTATTTTAATATTTAAAAAATATTAATATATTTTTTTTAGTTGAGGTATGAAAGTGTCGTGACACCAATAGTTGAGGTATGATATTGTAAATTTTAGGTATAAAAGTGTCGTGACACTAATAGTTGATGTAGTTTTTTGTACTTTACCCTTGATTTTTTAGTGTAAAAAAATGATTTTTCGTTAAAGTGAACAGTACCAAAAGCTTTTCGTTAAAGTTTCCTTTAATTAATGCTAGTTAAAATTTGGAATAGTATAAATTGTATAATATTTGTTTATGTTCAGGCACTCTTACAAAGAAACGACCTTATTCTATTCAGCCTCAAGCATTACACTTCGAGTTGAATTATGAAATAATATGCGCTTACTTTCCCAGTGATGGAGGAAGTTTTTGGCATGGACGCTCATATAGTATGGTTATCCGACCAAAGATTTAGCGAGTGAGACTAAAAGAGGGGTCGATGGGGCGGAACGAATGCGCTTAAATAATTTTTATGTTTTGATCGAACGAGTGATGTGATTCATCCGGACAGAATTTCTCCAAACGTTGGGCTTAATGGCATGGTGATGCATAAGAGAGTCGTCGAAGTTAAGGGTCTAATCCATAACAATGGTCCAATTGAATATGATTCAATAATCCAATGGGCCTGTTCTGTTGAAAAGGACATGAAAACAATGTTCATTGAATCGAATTGAGATTTTATTTGAATCTTTGTGTCTGGAAGGGAATGATTCGAAGATTCGGATCATTTATTTTAAATTCTACAGTCCCTATTAGCCCATCTATTCGTCCACTTCATACAAATTAAAGGTTTAGATCTCTCTCCTTCGTTTGAACGATTTGAATTTCTTGATTTGTCAATTCTTGAAAGCGAGGAATTCCATTGAATCAACATTTATGGCGACCAACTCATACTGTAGCTTTCTCGGTGGGCCATGGCAAAATTAAAATACAATGTTGAAATTTTGAATACGTTTGGTACGTAAAAACAAAAACAAAAAAAACAAAGAAACGTTTGGAAGCTTTCCTTTTCACCTGCATGACAAAGATTAAATTAAGGTTTATAAACATTGTGGTCCGGACATTTCACTAATAATTTTGGTAGGGTTGTACGGACAAGTATTCTTTTCGGATTTTCTTTGTGAGGATCCAGATATCAATTAATTGTGTTCGTTCATCATACATCGTGCGATCAATTTTTGTTAGGTACTATTTATATTCAATTTTAAATTAAAATTTTAAAATGATTTCTAACTGCACGATATACGATGAACGGACACAATTGATTGATCATTTGGATCCTCACAAAGAGGATCCTATTCCGAGTTGTACGATTAGGGTAACTATAACAATGAATATGGAGTCGAATGGTATTGTATTTAACTAATTATTCTGAAAAGGTTGTCACAAGTACAACTCTTATAACCAACAGGATCTCCAGATTCTTTTGGTGAGAATTCTAGGAATCTGTAAATCGTGTATGTTCATTGTACATTGTGCCGTCAATTATTGTTAGGTATTGTTTGTATTTAACTTTAAATAAAAATATTTAAAATGATTTATGACTACACGATGTATAATAAATATATATGATTTACGAATTCCGGGAATCCTCACAAAGAGGATCCGGATTCTTCTTCTAATGAATAAGATTAGAACAAAGTTGGATGAAACTAAAACATGGGTTCTGTGCTTTTGTGAGTGAGAATAATGTCGTATAAATAATGTGGTTGAACAACCTTGTTCAAGTTTATTTTTTAAATTGAGATGAATGTAAGTCCCACGTTGAAAACTTGATAGAACTCCACGCTTGCTGGATTTTGGAAGTGGTTAAGTCAGAGACAGTTTTGATATGATTAGTAGTGAGTCATGAATCAAACTTTGAAATGTTGATTTATTTTAGTCAATGATACTCATAATATCTATGCATCATGATGTATGTTCTTTACAAAATTAAAGGCTAACTATCAACACTCTTGATATTGTTTCGATAACATGTTGGTATTATGAGACAAAGGTCAGGTGTAGATCTATCATGCAATATAAGCTCTAGAGAAAGGCAACCGACCAAAAAACTAATATGAAAAGAAACACGTGTAGTTGTACTTGAAAGTTAGTTGGCAAGTGGGACTGCTCAGAAATTGGAGGGACTGGGTATACAAGGCAGAAGTAGAAGGGTTCCAAGCCTCATGGCCTACTACAACTACCTGCCTATGCTTTGAGAGGTCCTTTTGCTTTGTAAAGGTATTTAGAGTGTACAGCCATTTTCATAAGAGGGCGACACATGATAGCTTTGTAAGTGTGGTTTCATGGCAGTGTTAACTAGACCACTCACGGCAGTGCTCACTAGACCACTCACAACCGATCAACAGGAAAAAGGCTGCTAAACGACACTACGCTCAAAATTTTCGTAGGTTTTGGTGTATTCTAGATTATCGAATTTTTGTTGAAAGTATTAATTAAACATCGGAGAAATGAGGGATCTTGTATGTACTTCTAAGTAGTTAAGCTGCTCCTCATATTACCAATTGATTTTACGGTGGAAGCCTAACTCTTTTCGTGGTACAAGAGCAGATTGTCTCGCATGTGAAGCTCAACTGCCACACGTGCTCCTTGTCACCCGATTTGTATTGTCCACGTGCTAGGCTTGAAAATTCGACACAAGTGAGGGGTCGTGCTAAGAGTATCAATCCCATATCGGGAGAAAAAAGAACCCTGCGTATGCTTATCAGTAGTTGGGCTACTTCGCATATTGCTAATTTGTCTTATGGTGAAACCTCAATTTTCTTCACTATTGGCCTTTAGATAATCCCTAACTAAAAATCTAACAACCTAAAACTTCAGTATACAAAATACACCGGAACATACTAAATAACCCACTTTGCTTTGTACTATGTAACTGCACATATATATAAGGTATTCCCTTTATTTATGAGTTCCATTAAAATGGTGGGTAAGGAGTATTTAGTTCCAACATGCTTTCATATTTCTGCAGGTATTCATAAATATAAATTTATGATAGTACTCAAAAATGGGAGGATGCACCCACTATGACAGTCTAATTAGCTGCCATTGGATGCGTCAACCACGTAATGGTTGTCCATGTCAATACTTCCATCTACCTGTCATGCCGGGCAAAGGTGAACTCAACTACGAGGAGCGGAATTTTCGTAGGATTGTCTGGATAGAGATTACATTATGTCTCGTAACTAAGACATTATCGTAATGGCACCGCCAATGTCACTTAGTACCTACATATTACCGACTAATTAGCATTTTAAACACTGTGTAGTGCCTACCTTAGATTGAGTTTTTGTTTATCTCATTTTCACTTTTTGAATAGGTGGCAAGCTTTTGTAATGCGACGGTGTCATGAGAATTGTATTTTGGTTACAAGACTATGACTCTCACTCTTCCCTTAAAGAGAGACCAACTCTTTACACAGGACATGGCCGTTGTTTAGGTTGGATGAGACCCAAATATAGCCTTATGTTTTTATGATAGACACTCGGAAACTACCCAAAATCTTCTCCAACTATACAATTAAATTTTAAGTTACTTGTGCTCCCTAGTTCATTAAAAGAGTAATTCATATTCGTCAAAAAGTGTCATAAAGCTACCAACGAGGGTTAGTTGAATTGGTAATGATTGTTCTCTTCGCTAGAGTAAAGTCTCGTTGTTGTCAATCCCTCTTGATGGACGATTTGTAAAAGTTAAAAAGGGGCTAACATCCCTCTGTAAGACTGTAAGTCTTCAAAAAAACTTGTAGTATGTCCTGACCCTTGAATAGAGTAGCATCCCCCTAACTTTTTTTAACTAAAAAATGTGTCATAAAGCTTATGGAATCTAAAACCTAGTATTTATCTTTACATTCGAGATTCTGAACGATGATAATTAGTGCAACTATTTGCACACCTACATTGAGATTTGAGAAGGGGAAAAAGCCATGTTATGTGACAAATCTCTTAAGTATGATGTCCATTTCTCCTTGCTACCACAAGGTTAAAGATAGGTGTCAATTTTCCCTTCGAGTTTGTGTCTGCCCATGCTGGGCCAATTGCTGAATGATGTAGGGAGGGACACAATTTTACAGGCACAATTTGATGCCCACGCACAACGGGCCAAGGCACAATAACTCTCTCTCTCTCTCTCTCTCTCTCTCTCTCTCCTGTCTCTCTCTCCACTTCCTTCTTTCCCGAAGAGGGTGACCCCCTACACACCCCAAAGGAAAAGATTGAACATCAAAACTATGGTAAACCCTCTAAATTATTGGGGGAAGACAAAAGCAGGGGAAAGCGACCCTTCCTCTTTCCCCATGTACCACCCAGCAAAAAACTGTCCCGCCCCATTACACAATCCAGAGGGAAAGAGAGATTAAAGCACAACTAACCCATCACTCCACTACATGTAGGTTCTACCGTTCTTGAGTCCCGGGACTAATTTATCCTCCCTCCAAAACCCACTATTTCTCTTCCTCCTTGGGATTATTGCCCTGCTGCTGCTCTGCCGTGATGCCTAGGCCGGGGCCGAGGCCGTATGAGTGTGTCCGGCGAGCTTGGCATAGCGATAGGCACCAACCCATGAGAGGTTCCATCATTCAGCAGATTTTCAGGTACTGGGTCCTCTTTGTTTCCATGGATTTCTTGGTAAAGGTGTCTGCTTTTTCACATTTTGCTGACCGCCCACCACCTGTTTGATTAGGGTCGTCAATGAGGTTCACAGCTCCGTCACGAAGAAGAACAAGGAATGGCAAGAGAAGCTGCCTTTGGTGGTTTTAAGAGCAGAGGAAATTATGTATTCCAAAGCCAATTCTGAGGTTTTTCTCGTTTCCCTTTCGGTTTTTCATTCGCTCTTTTTGGTTGTTCCGTCGGTCATTTTTTGCTTTGTTTTGTTGAAGGCTGAGTACATGAATCTCGACACGCTATGGGACAGAGCAAATGACGCGGTTAACACGATTATCCGGCGAGATGAGGGCTCTGAAACCGGGGAGCTTCTGCCGCCGTGTGTCGAAGGTAACATTGTACTGATTTCTTTGCAGTCTGTTGAATTGAACTGTGAAATTATGCTACTGGGTTGTTCTCATTTTCAATGTATATTAGCTCATTGCTCAAGCTTAGTTTAGTTCGTAAGAAGATATTATTGTGCAGAATGAATACACTAGAGGTGTGATTTGTATGTGTGTTTTGGTTCCTCCTCTTTATGTTGTTCAGCTGCCCTTAATCTGGGTTGCACTCCAGTAAGAGCTTCGAGAAGCCAACGCCACAGTAATCCGAGGAGTTACCTCACTCCAAGAGCTCAAGACCCCGCTTCTACCCCTGCTAGGGTTTTGGATGAAAATGCAGATGAACGGCGCCCTCAGTTTTCTCCGCATCACTCTAGCAATCAATTGAACTTTGCAAAAGCCTTGAATGTGAGTTCTGTGCATTTGGTCCCAGAATCTTACGGCCGCATCAAAAGTACTAACCTCACTAGTCCTCTGAATTACCCTTTTGCACTTGAGAATGTTCCTGCTGGCCATAACCAGTTAGCAACACTGTCAACCAGCAATCCCTTGAACTCGGGTTCAGTATATCCATTATATTATGGAACTCACCATCAACCCCAAAAGCTCCAGGTCGGTCATCAGGCTTCAAAAAATACACATTCTATGACTATACATGTTGGTACTCCAATTGTTACATCAGTTGTGGAGCCTATAAAGCAGAACCTTTTCTCCTCTCAAGGTGCTGAAAATGTGTCACACAGATTCACACAAGAAGTCATGGACACCCAGGAGAAGCCACGAGAAACGGAATGTGATTTATCGTTGACGCTGGGTCCTGCTCTCCACCCATGTACTCAAAGAAGCTTGGCCAGTGAAATGGAAGATTTTGGTTCAATAAATTCTCAAGAGTGGGGAAAGTTAAATGATTTTTCTTCACTGAGAAGTAAGGAAATCTGTTTCTTTCCCACAAAGACTGCTTATGATCGCTTTGAGTCCACTTCCAGTATGTGGAATTCAGAGAGCGGTCGGAGTTCTGAGGCAACTATAAGGAAGCGCAAGGCACCTTTTAGTACCAATGAGGAAGATAGACAATTTTGCTGGCAACCAGATGTCATTCCCAACAGGTTTACTGGTCGAACTACAGGGCCTGGTTTGTAGACTCTTTCCCTACTGTAGTATATATGCTTCAAAATCCAAGATGCCAATATATTGTTGAATCCTATTATGAGAGGCTCTCTTCTTATGCAGCTCTGATTGCGAAATTTCTCTAGTTGATTTTAGTTGCTAGTTGCATTAGTGGAAAGATGTGAGTTGTAAATGAAACTTGAGTTGGATTCATATCGTAGAACAATGTCCTGGTATCATAACTAAAGCTTGAAACATCGAACTTCCAGATCATTAATACTGCATTGCTTAGACTTATAGTTGAGCGAAAATTCCAGAAAAAAGTGTTGTGGGTTGAGGGTATGAGAGCTATATGGGACCGTGTAAAGATGGAAGTAAAAAGAAGCTTCATTTTTGCAGGACTGTGCTGTGATAAATTGTACTCCTCTTTGAAAAATTGGCATAACGGTCTGGGGCAGTCCACACGGATGGCTTCTTTCCATCAACTTCTTTACCGCAGAACCCTAGAAAATTATGTCTTAGGTAACTTATTGTGCATTGTTTGATTCAGATATTAGGTTAGCCGTTCTTATAAGCTTAGATGTTGAGTAATGAGATTCAGTGCTTATCCGGCTCCATTGTGTTATCGATTTCAAGAGAAATTCTTTGCCGTTTTGCTTCGTGTATGATTTTGTCGTAGATTTGCCTGATCACTAGCTGAACTCTTTGAAGGGTCTGTAAAGAAGCACTTTTTCCGGCTGGAACGATGTGTAGGGGGTTCTTTTGATACAATGTCGAATCTTCTTAATTACGAGAGAACATTCTTTTTATGTAGCTACGATGTGCTAGTGTATTGGTGCTTCGAGTGTTAGTGTTGTACTGGAGCGTAATGTACCATTCCGATGATATTGTAATGTACTACTCCGACGATTTGAAAAAAAACTGCTTGTACACACACCTATTGAAGAAAAATTTGAGTCAATTGTAACAAAACTCAAGGTTGAAACTTGGTCGAACTAACTGATGGTCGGAACTTTGTTCGAACGATTACACAGTACAAGTGGAAAGAATGAGAATTCACATGTAAGTGGGGAAAGAAATTATTAAAAACCAAAACAAAAAGAAGAAAGAATTGACATATTTGGAGATCGCGACGTCAATTAAAGAGCCAATTCTCAGAGAGGAAGCACCGGAGGCTGGTGGTGGCGGTGGAGCGGAAGCAGGGGGAGAGTAGGGAAATCCGACGGTGAGAGTGACCTTTTGGCCCCGCTCGTAGTTATCACCAACGGAAGAGATGAAATAGCTTATAAAAACTACATAATAAATGAACATTTATTGTAATATAGCTTATTTTATAAATAAAATAGAGGATTAGACGATATTAATTTCTTGGAAACGACTGCTAAGCTTAAGCGACTAAGGAAATTACTGCTACAAGTATGGGGATGAGCCCAACGAAAGTACGAAGAGTAGTGGTAGTGAAAGATGAAGCGTGGGAGGATGGTGGTGGAGGAGCTAACAGAGAGGAGGTGGTGGTTGGTGATCCAACGGTGATGCTGACCTTTTGGCCTTGCTCGCGGTGGTCACCAACGGTGCAGATGAAGAAGCGAGAACCGGTAGAATTGAGTTCCGTCCTTACTCCTGGTCCCAGTACGATCCCAGGGTCACCGCAGCTATCATATTCTTCTTTTGTTGCTATTTCCCCCACGTTTCAGTCCAATTCAACACTGCAATGCCAAAAATTCACAACAATAAGTTAACAACAAAGATATATACATATTCATGAACTCGGACGCAAGAGTTGGAAACATGCAACTGTCCTAACTTACGTCTACTTAGGCTAACAACAAAGATATATAAATACTCATATGAACTTGGACACAAGGGCCGGGAACAATTAATGCCCTCCCGTTAGCTGACCTAACTCACATCTAGTTGTTACTGGAAAATGGAAAGCGCACTTACCAACTGTATCTCCTATTTGGAATGTCTTTGAGGCAGCGCAGTCGGAGTAAAAGGAGGTGTATAAGGGCAAGCCACCGCCATACTCACCAACCAAGCCATCATCATATTAATTTCTCTGTGGCTGCCCATTTCCGTACGCCTGGTGAATATTTTGATCGGCCTACGTGTTTTTCGGTGATCTGCAAGTACTTTTTCTTGGATCGACGTACGTGTTTTTCTTTTTTCGTTTATAAATATGCATGCGTACGATTTATGAAATCAATTTTCTAATAAATTAAGCATATATGTTGTATGTGTGGTGGGAAAACCTTGAAAACTTTGAACAAGTTGAATATAACCCTGCATTGCCTGGTGATTTTGATGCACTCTAAAAGAAAAAAGAAGAAAGAAATCACCAAGTTTTACCAGTTCCATCGTCCCAGAGTCAAAGACTTACCGGTTCATTGCGTGACGTGTTGAATAAGAAGAGTATCCAAGATAACTCTAATGATCCCAAGAAGAAGAAAATAGAACACACTCTTAAAGAAAGCTCACAAAACAAACTAATTAGCAAAGCTTTTCTTATTTAGCTCTAGGCTTTGTTTTTCCTTGGATGATTTACAATGCTTGGGGACTTGGGTATTTATAGCAAACCAAATGAAAGCTACACCACACACTTACTTCACCTACAACATCCACCTACTTCACCTACAACCTCCACTTACTTCACCAACCTCACACACTTACTTCACCTACAACATCCA